CCTAAGTCCTCAGGAGACCAGCCTCTGGAAACAAGGCTTTGTCTGGGTTCTAGAGAAGAAGGGAAAGAAGCAGAGGGCCTTTGGGGGACGGGAGGGAAGGGAGAGAAAGGGAGAGGAGCGGCCCCAGCCCGCATCTGAACCCGTCATAGCAGAGCCCTCCTGTTTGCGCTGCTGCCCCGCCTGGGCCTGGCCCACTCGCCTGCTTGCTTTGCGTTAGAAGCAGTGGCTCTGCCTAGGGAGCTGCCCCAGCTGGAGGGCAAGAGCCACAGCATGCTCGTCCCGAGGCAGGCAGCCGGGAGGGCAGGGCAGCTCTCTCTTCTGTCCTCCAGTCCCCATGTGGAGAGTGGCTTTGGGCTGCCAGGAGAACTAGATCGAGACCCTGCCCCAGCTGCTTTTCCCCGGGCTTCAGCTGTTAGCACAAGAGGCACCAGCCCTCCCAGCCCCACTTCCCCAGTTCCCTGTTCCGGTTTCCCTCGTGTCTCCCTCCGCCAGCTCCCCTCCCTCCCCACACCTCACCTTCCTCAGTTCCCTGTGGTCCCTGCTCTCTCAGGCTTGCAAGGGCTGTCCAGCTGCTGTGGTGTCATGTGTGGCCGTGGCTTGAGGCCTAGATGTAGAGGCCCCGAGGGGGAGAGGAGAGGAGGGCAGACTACCTGCCTTTGGCAGGGGCCTGCTGCACACTCGTCACACCAGGCCGGCTCCTGCCACCTGAGCTATGGGCTCACATGGCCCCTCCGAATTCCCTCCTCTGCGCAGTTCCACAGAGGACATCCCCCACAGGCCCCAAAAACATGCAGACCTCTGGCCGACTGAGCAACGTGGCCCCACCCTGCATCCTCCGGAAGAACCCCCCGTCGGCCCGAAATGGTGGCCATGAGACTGACGCCCAAATCCTTGAACTCAACCAGCAGGTGAGTGGGGTGGGCAGGGGGAGCTGCCTCAACAGCCAGGCCCGCGGGTGTCCGGGTGGGAAGGGGAGCCTGGGCGCGACGTCTGGCTGGAGCACCACCTTCGCCCGCACAGCTGTTGGATTTGAAGCTGACAGTGGACGGGCTGGAGAAGGAGCGTGACTTCTACTTCAGCAAACTCCGAGACATCGAGCTCATCTGCCAGGAACACGAAAGCGAGAACAGCCCTGTCATCTCGGGCATCATTGGCATTCTCTATGCCACCGAGGTGAGCTCTGCCTTCACCCGCGAATGTCCCAGGCCCACCAGGCTCTCCCCTAGGCCCACCAGGCCCTCCCCAATCCTGCCTGCCCTAAGACGGGAGGAGACAGGACCCGAAGGAACCTTGGAGAACTTGGACGGCGAGGACAGCGAGCTGCAGTCACAAGCCCCCAGTCACAGAGCGTTAGCAGGGAAAGGAGGACTAGAACCCTTGCTCCCAAGCTACCTATACAACCCACACTTGCGCCAGCCTGCCCGGCTCACCCTGCCCTCTCCCTCCCCCCTCCAGGAAGGCTTTGCACCCCCTGAGGACGACGAGATTGAGGAACACCAACAAGAAGACCAGGACGAGTACTGAGGGCGGCTCCAGCCCTGGCTGACTGCACGCCCCCACCCACGCCCACCCCACATTATAATCCTTCCTTAGAACATCGGCGGTGCTTGGTGTCAGTGCCGCAGCATTGGGGAGTCAGGCGAGGGGCTGGAGGGGATGGGGCAGATGGGCAGGCAGAGGCCCCGCACTGCCCACTCCCCACCCCTATTTATTTCCGTTGTCTCTGCTGTTTCGGCCAACACACCCCAGGGTGCTGCGCCACCCGCCCCCGCCAGCCGCCTGCTCCCCTGACAGCCAGCAGCTGTATATTTGACAAAGTCATTGGTATATTTTTACTTACTGGATTTTCCTTGCACTTTACCTGTTCCTCCCCCAGGGCTCACAGCACGGGCTCCAGGGCACTCTGCCTGGCTTGGCTCCCCTTCCCCACTGCCGGGCCATGGCAGGACTCACACTTCTTATTTATTTTGTCTTTTGACTCCCCAGTAGTTGAGGGGAAGGCTGATGTCAGGAGAGGGAGAGGGGGAATGAGGAGGGGTGCCTTAGGCCTCGGTGGTCAGGGAGAGGGAGGGGAGCATGTGAGGGATGAAAATGACCTCCTGGCACCAGGCTCACCCACCCTGGGCCCCTTCCCCCAGCCCCAAAGCCCAACACTGCCCCGAGGCCCCCAGCCACTCCCTCCACAGCCTGTTCATACCACACAGACTCTGCCCTGACCCTCCTGTACGTCTGCCTCCCATCCACCCACCTCCCCCACCCCTGCCTCCCTGGGCCACCAGCCTGTGTATGTGTTCACTTTTATTTAAATAAACTCGTGTGGTAAAAGTCCATGCCGTGTCTCCCTCAACTGAGCTACAGCCTGGGTCTCAAAGCTTGGCTCCCCTCCCAGAGCCACGGCCTGAGCACACACAGCACCTCGGTGGCCTTCCCTCACGTCTGCACGCCACCGCCGGCTCTTGGCCTCCGCGCCCAGCTCCGACCCAGCCCCGTCTCCCCACACTGATGCTGGGCTCTAAGACATAGAAGCCCACCCAGTCCCTGAGGAGGAACAAGGTTTGGAGCCCTGGTGCTGAGGATACGGGCGAGGAGGGGGTGGGGGGTAACAGGGTGGCCTGGCCAACCGGCCAGTTAGACTCCATGTTGTCCCCCACCCTTTGTCAAGGCTCACACACCTCAGAACAGTGACCCAGCTGGGAACAAGGGCTCATCTGACAGAAAGCTGAGTGGGTTACAAAGAGTAAGCAACTCTGAGCACTGAAGTCCAGAGGACAGCAGTGCCCATGTGGTTCCTTCTGTAGAACAAGGTCTTATGGGAACCACGGTCAAGAAGCTTTCACATGATCCACACAGCCCTGCCTGCCTGGTGTGTGTCCCAGCAAAGGGCCACACCAACCAATGTCCTGCAAGTCCAACAAGCGCAACCAGGCCCATTCAAATGAAGCCTTGCCGTCATGGAGAGCAGCGCCGTCATTTACTGAGGAAGGGACCAAAGCCCACATGGGACATGACTCATTCAAGGTGGTAAAAACCTGGACTAGAATTCACACCTCCAGATTCATGGTTGAGTACTCATCCCCACAGACCATCGAGGTATTACCCCAGAATGTTCCTCTAGGTTCAGGCTAGTCCCGGGAACTGTTTCTTCACCTTCCTGAGAGTGACTGAGATACAGTTGGGGCTGTTTCTTCTGTGCCCAGCTCCATGACCCTCTTCCAGAGGACCCCCATTTCTCTAATTGCTCCAGATAGAAGCCTAAGATAAGCAACTCTTGCCTGCTCGTTCCACATGTACTTCTCCTCCTTTTATTTATTTATTTTAATATTTTTTCTTATTTTTAACAAAGGGGAAGGGAGAGGGACAGAGAGTTAGAAACATCAATCAGATGCCTCCTGCATACTCCCCATTGGGTATGTGCCTGAAACCAAGGTAGATGCCCTTGACAGGAATCAAACCTGAGACTCTTGAGTCTGCAGGCCAAAACTCTATCCACAGAGCCAAACCAATTAGGGCCTCCTACTCCTCCTTTTGACTCCCATCCCACATACAGACACTTCTGGCTTAATCTCTTTTTCTCCTCTAACAAGTTCATTTGCCTGCTTTTATTTATCTTTTTTTAAAAATATATTTTTATTGATTTCAGAGAGGAAGGGAGAGGGAGAGAGAGAGAGAAACATCAATGATGAGAAAGAACCTTGATTGGCTGTGTCCTGCATGCCCCACACTGGGGATCAAGCCCACAACCCAGGCATGTGCCCTGACTGGGAATGGCCTGACCTCTTGGTTCATAGGTCAACACTCAACCACTGAGCCATTGAGTCTGGGCTGCTTTTATTGATCTTTGTGATTTTTTAATCCCTTGCCTCATTTTAAAAGGCTTTTCCTCCTTTATAGTATCCCAAGTAGATACTATAAAAGGATACAGTAGTTGTTCTGCGTTGTTCAATGTTCATCTTCAGGCCTAGACCTCACCCTGATGATAAAGTAGGTGTGGTAGGCAGAATAATGCCTCCTCCCAAAGATGTCCACATAATTCCCAGAACCTGCCAATGTGTTAGGCTGCACAGCAAAGGGGAATTAAGGTTGTAGATAGAATTAAGTGGCTAATTAGTTGACCTGAAAACCAGGAGAGAATCCTGGGTCATCTAGGTATGAATCTTATCCTCAAATGTAGGAACGTATACAAAATAGAACATTTCCTTAATTGTGATAAATTACTTTCATTTCGCCTTCCCTCGCCCTCCCGTGCTGGGAAGCTTCAAGCTTTGTGGTCTCACATTAAATTACAAGCAAGATAGGAGGCCTTCCAGGGACAGTGAATGTCTGAGCCATAGCCTGTTGGAGTGGTTCATCAGGTCTATGGTTTTTGATCACTTCTCTGCCACATCTGGGACTTGGGACTGACTGCAGCCGGAGCCAGAGCGCTTCTTTTCCATAGTCTGCAAGAGGAAACCCAGCCCTGGCTGTTCCGGAGCCCCAGACTTTTCTCTGCCTCCTGTCAAAAGAACTCTCCACTCTCCCCCCTCCAAAAAAGTGCCTCTTCCCTCAAAGCTCCATCCTCTTCCCAGTTCCCGCACAATAGGTTTTTACAGCCCATTAAACTCAAAGCTTAATCACCAGCAACAGAACACACACACTTTCTTAGAGCGAAGGAAGCGTTTCATCTGCAAACTCTCCTGGAGGTAGAGAGAACCATTTCCATGCCATCCTTCTGGCACCACGGGAAAGAAAAACCGCATCAGCTAAATACACACAGTAGGCGCTCCAGGACAGTTCGCTAAACGTAATAGTAACCTCAGTCTCGACATCTTTGGAAGTTCGTTGCTGCGAAGGAGCCCAGACGTACACCCTCCCTCCCCACAACCCCTTGCACCACCCTCACACCACCCTCGCTAGCAATAACCTGGCGAAACCGAAAGACTACAACTCCCAGGCTGCCTTGGGGCGGCGTCACGCGCCGCGAGGCTCTGCCAAGAGACGTGGCAGAGTGCGGCGCGTGCACACCCACCGGAAAGCCCGGGGAGGTGGCCGGCGCGGCGGGAGGGTGGGAGCCATGGCGGCGATCGCGGTGGGTGCGGGTGCCGGGCGCTGGGAGGTGGTGAAGAAGGGGCGGCGGCCGGGAGCCACCGGCGGCGGGCGCGGCGGCGGAGCGGACCGCCGGACCCTCGGGGAGGCGAACGGAGTGTGGAAATACGACCTGACCCGTGAGTACCCACCCGGCCCGTAGCCGCCGCCCGGACCGGGCTTGCCCCTCCCGGGGCTGCCGAGCCGCGGACCTCCCCGGGCTCCTCCGGGCGCAGGCCGTCCTGCCGACCGATCGGCGCCTCCGGTTCGGCGGGCGCTACCCTTGCCTGGTCTCTTGAGTCTCACACATGGCAGACGACGTGAGGGAGGTGGCCGTCCTGGCTTCGCAGCGGGGTAAACTGAGGCCCCGTGGAGTTAGATGCCTGGCCCAGAGCCACCTGTCAGAGGGGACGAGGATTCTGGTCTGGACGCCAGGCTCACCGCACCCACCCGACCAGCTGTTGCCGGGCCCTAGCCTGGCCGGCCTCTCTGGGCAGGTGTCCCAGAGCTGGGGAGAGGCATGCTTGTTCATTATGTAAGGTGCCCCCCTTACCCCCCCCCCACCGAAGGAGCCAGCAGGTGGGGTGAGGGGAGGGCGGACAGGAGGCCCCGCCGCGGGAGCAATGCCCACCGCGCGCTAGACACCCGCCGCCGAGCCTTAACTCTCTGTGGCGCCTGTTCCCGCAAACCTCCCAGAGGCGTGGAGCACGCCTGCCACTTGTTGATTAGGGAGTTGTCACATCTGAACCAAGATGGAAAAATCCTGCCCTCCCAGACTCCTCGTCTCTCACCAAAGAAGCCAGCCCTCTGGCCCCCACCCCTCCACTAGTTCCCCATCCTCCGATTTAGTGGCAAACGCCTCACCTCTGCGAAAGGCCCCGGGAACCCGCGCTGTAGGGACTGCAAGGAGCAGCAGGTGGGCTCAGGCTCGCTGGCCTGCTCCCTCCGCAGGACAGACAGCAGGGAGGGGCTTTGGAGGTGAATTAGGTGCCAGGTGGGAGAAGGGACCCCTGTTCCCTTGAGGTCCTCCTGACTGCCTCTTTCACTGCTTATCGCCACTTCAGCTCCCATCCAGACGACAACCACCCTTTATGAGCGGGGCTTTGAGAAAATCAAGAAGAAGCAGAATAAGGAGCAGGTTCCGCCCCCCGCCGCAGAGCCTAAGAAACCCTCCAACAAGAAGCAGACGAAGAAGATGGCGACCCTCAGCAACCAAAGCCAGAAGCAGGGCCGCTTCCGCAGCCTGGAGGAGGCCCTGAAAGCTGTGAGTACGCCTTGCCCTTAGGTGGGGGGCGGTGGGGAGGAGGGAGCGAGGACCTGAGTGTGAAGACGAAAAGGGGCGGAGGACAGGCAGCTGGTAGCTGATGGGACGCTGTTGGCAGAGAGGAGGCATTCGGGGAAGGATGGAACCCCAAGGAGTAGAATGTTTGCTCTCAGGATAAAAGGACATGAGAAGCTCAGGGGAAACATGGGTTAGTGAGAAGAGAGCCTTGAAGCCCAGAGGGGGAGGGAGAGGTGAGAGAAACCGCTTGTTTCCTCGCCCCTGGGAGCGCCTTGCCTTTTGTGTTTCCCCTTGGACGCATGAAGGTCCTAAGAGTGCTGGTCCTGGGGGTCAGCAATGCCAGTTGTCCCAAACGTTCCAAAGATCTGGAGTCAGCAGACTTGCGGCACTCCGCATCCTTACGTCCAAAAGCAGAAACCTTTTGCTCCTCCTCCCGCAACTGACCCTGTGGGGCCTGTGTCCCTGGCAGCTGGACGTGGCAGCCCTGCAGAAGGAACTGGACAAGAGCCAGAGCGTGTTCTCTGGGAACCCATCCGTGTGGTTGAAGGACCTGGCCAGCTATCTCAACTACAAGCTCCAAGCCCCCCTGAGTGAGCCCACGCTAAGCCAGCATACTCACGGTGGGTTCTCACAACTCCCTCAAGCTCAGACAAGTTCAAGAAAGTTCTGACATGGTTGTGCGTAAGCACATTACTTAGTAACAGCCCCAGTGCTCCCCGCTGCCCTGATCTACATGGGTGGAGCTGTTCTCAAACCATCATGATGTGAACGTTTCTGGGCCTTGTAGGGGTAGGGAGGGTGCCAGCCTCCGTGTGGATCGGTCTCGGAGCACACCTGTGTGCTCAGCTGGCAGAGGCTTCGGGTCCCAGCACTCATGTGGAGGCCTATTGCCCAGATTACCCCTACAGCCTGGTGAGCCGTGAGCTGCGTGGGATCATCCGAGGGCTGCTGGCGAAGGCGGGGTCCCTGGAGCTCTTTTTTGACCACTGTCTGTTCACCATGCTGCAAGAGCTGGACAAGACTCCAGGTGAGGGGCCGTGACGGGGAGCCAGCCCCATCCTGGGGGCCTGTTTCCTTTTTTCTTGCTTCAAAAGTGCTGGGTTGTTTCCAGGAGAGAAACATGCTAACTCTGACACTTTTGGAAAGGGGGGAGGAAGTTAGGAGTTGTTGGCCCGAGTTCTGGGCTTACAGCTGCCAATTGGGAGATTTCCAGTTTTAGATGTGTGTTCCTATGTGTGGGTATAAGAGTATGTGTCTCTCCAGGGGAGTCGCTCCATGGCTATCGAATCTGTATCCAGGCCATTCTGCAAGACAAGCCCAAGATTGCCACCATGAACCTGGGCAAGGTGAGCTCAGGGTGGTGGTAGGAATACCAGGAGGCTAGGACTGGGCCGGTCGGGAAGAATCTACCCTGCTGGATCCAGTCAAGGGCTAGCAGAACACCCTGTGAGACAAATCATGACAGCTGACACTGTTGGCACTTATTTGTGTGTCTGCTTTTTATATATTTATACACACACACACACACACAGCAAGCACTGCGGTTATTCTCATTTTATAGATGAGAAAGTTGAACCACAAAGGTTCATTCCTAGAGTCAGTAAACTAGTAAGTGGCAAATATGGGTGAAGGCCCACGCCTTGAGTCACTACACCACACTACCATGGTGCTCCACTGTCCCAGGTGACAGTTGTTCCTGCCTCATTTTGGGGGTGCTTCTGATGCTTTGCCCTATCCCAGCCTACCTCTCTCACTTGGCTCCTCTAGTTCCTGGAACTGCTGAGGTCCCACCAGAATCGACCAGCAAAGTGTCTGACCATCATGTGGGCCCTGGGTCAAGCAGGTTTTGCCAGCCTCACCGAGGGGCTGAAAGGTAATAAGGCAGTGGGGAGGAGAGGTGTGCTTGGAGCCAGGAAACTTCTCTGTAATGTCCTCCCTGATCTGAGCCTGAGGCTTCCTCCCTGATCTTTGTCTCTGCAGTGTGGCTGGGGATCATGCTGCCTGTGCTGGGCATTAAGTCCTTGTCCCCCTTCGCCATTGCATACCTGGACAGGCTGCTCCGGTGAGTAAAGGGAGATGGGAAGGGAAGGGCCCAGGAGTCTCCAAGTAGCTATTTCAGTAAAATGAGATGCTGGGATCTGGTCTCTATAGAGACCAGGACCAGCTCCTCCCAGCTCAGAATGTGATGGTGAAGAAGGAAGGGGAAGGAACCATTAAGGGGTGAGGTGTGGGGTAGAGTCTATGCCCTTTTCCCAGGTGTTGGTCTTAGCTGGGATGACGGCCTAGTTGGTGGTCCCCAACAAGCCTTTCTTCCCTCCACAGGATGCACCCCAACCTCACCAAGGGCTTTGGCATGATTGGCCCCAAGGACCTCTTCCCACTTTTGGACTTTGCCTATATGCCCAACAACTCCCTGACACCCAGGTAGGGCCGCCCTGGGACATACCTGCTGTGAAGGATCCCAGCAGGGGTCCCTTCCTCAGCCACCCTAAATCTAAGATTCTCAACCTGCAAGTTCAAGGGATCAGTAAACGCCCTGAAACTTTATGGACCCTTGAGTGTGATTGGCGTGTGGGTATTTTCCTCGGGAGAGGATCTGTGACTTGCAGCACATTTTCCAAGGAGTCTCTAAATCTAAAAAAGATTCAGAGCCGTTACAAGGTTCTTAGACTCCCATCTTCGGGCGGGGTGTGGGCTCTAAGGCAGGCAAAAGGGACACAATGCAGAGCTCCCTTTAGAGCTGTGCCTGGCTCTCCTTCCCACCCCCACCCCAGCCTGCAGGAGCAGCTGTGTCAGCTCTATCCCCGATTGAAGGTGCTGGCATTTGGGGCAAAGCCGGAATCCACCCTGCACACCTACTTCCCCTCCTTCCTGTCCAGAGCCACCCCTGACTGTCCTCCTAAGATGAGGAAAGAGGTGAGGAAATGGGGGGAGGCTCCTTTTTCCCTTCCAGGGATCAGCTGCAGGGGTCCCTGTCTGCACACCAAGGCCCTGTCTTCACGGACTCGCTTCCTGGACGTCCCTTAGCTCATTCCCAACAGCCTCCTGCCCCACTCTGTCATGTTCTGCCCTCAGAAGATCCGAGCTGGAAGGACAGCACGTTCAGGTCTGGCTGGTCTCTGATGTCTTCCCCCTCGCAGATGAGTGATCTTTGAGGTCAAGGTCTAGCTCAGGGCCCCAGCCTCCCCCTTTACAGCCTCTGAGATTTCTGGGGTCTGGCATGATTTGTCCGCCCCTTAGGGTGGCTGTGTTGCCTACATGGTCTCACTTCGGAGAAGGGGATTGCTTCTTAGCTCTCTCCCCTCCACCAGCCCCATGCCCCAGCGGCTCTCCTCTCTCCTGTCTCCTGTGCAGCTCCTGAGCAGCCTGACCGAATGCCTGACGGTGGACCCCCTCAGTGCCGGTGTCTGGAGGCAGCTATACCCCAAGCACCTGCCACAATCCAGGCAGGTGGGGGAGGGGGCTGTCACCTACCGCTCATCCACACAGAAGAGCCTTAGTTTGGGCCTCCCAGCTTGTCCCTGTCCTAGAAGCAGAAGGGGAACACCTGTTACTGTTTCGGGGCTCATGCCTCCAAGTTGCGTGTGGCTCTTAGGAAGCAGTCCCTGTGCGGGGCAGGGGGAGGGGTGCAGTCTTCAGCCAGAGGCAGCCAGGGGCCTAATGGAGGAGGGGAAGGGCCAAGTGGGCCGCTGATTGGAAGGGTTGTGTTTTCCCCACAGCCTGCTGCTGGAGCATTTGCTCAGGTCCTGGGAGCGGATTCCCAAGAAGGTGAGGAGCTGGAAGGACATGGCAGGCTGAGCCTCGTCTGGGTTCTGGGTTCGTACCCCAGCACTGTCCCCCTCCCCTGAGAAGGCGCTCTGCCAGTACATTTGGCCTGGAAAATGGAGCATGGTGGAGGGTTCCCTCACAGGCCACAGCTTATGCTCTCAACCCAGATGTCTCTCACCTTCTAGGCACAGAAGTCTTTGCAAGAAACCATTGAATCCTTCAAGCTTACCAACCAGGAGCTGCTGAGGAAAGGCAGCTGTAATAACCAGGATGTCATCACCTGTGACACAGCCTGCAAGGTGCCAGCACCGGCCCTCCCCAACCCACACGCTGTTCTGCATCCCTGTGTTGGCACACCCTGGTTGTGCCTGTATCACATTCCTGCCCCACCTATCCCGGGAGCCCCCACTGCCTCGGGTATGGTGAGGGCTGGCCCCTCTCCCTTCTGACTGCGCTCCTACCCCCTTTCCTCCTAGGGCCTGTTGCAGCAGGCTCGGGGTTTCCGGCTGCCCTGGACACGGCTGCTCCTGTTGGTGCTGATCTTTGCCATAGGTCTCCTGTGCCACGACTTCCGGTCACACAGCTCTTTCCAGGGTAAGCAGGGATTGGCGGGCAAGGCAGGTCGCATGGGGGTGGGTCATAGAGCTAGCTGTAGCATCCCTGTCCCCAGCACATAGCTCTGCCCTGATGCTGCAAAAACAAACACTTTTCAGACAGATGTTTGTGTCCACAACTGTGACATTACCACTTCAGATTGGGGGCCAGTGCTTTGCAGAGTAGAAGTGCTTGCGTGTTCATGGTCTTCTTTAAGTGGGTGATACCTCCTTTATGATTTTTTAGTAAATTGAGGCTCAGAAAGATTTATCAGTTAGTATGAGATCACAGCTGGTCAGCAGAAAGAAGCCCTGTGAACACACGAAGGTCAACCCCATCTCTCACTGGGCCTGCTCGGGGGGCTGTAGTGTCTGCCTGCCCACTCCCTGTCCCCCCACCTCCCAGCTCACCAGAGACCCCCTTTACTCAGACTCCCTTTCTGGCCGGTTGCTTCAATCATCGGGCTTCTTGCCTGCTGGCCAACAAGCATGTGCCAAGATCTACTCCTACAGCTGGCAAGGCTACAGGTGAGCACCTCGCAGGGAGGGGGGAGAGATGGATGGGTGTTCAGGGTGGCGATGGCATTGACAGTCAGTGGGAATAAGTATGGTTTTCCTTTTCCAAGGCCTCCCTTCCCCAACTCTGGGGAGCCGAGCTGCCTGAGGAAACTCAGCCCTCCTCTCTCCTGTCCTCTGCAGCTGGCTGGAGGAGACGCTGCCGGCCTGGGGCTCTCACCTGCTGACTGTGGTGAGGCCCGGCCTGCAGCTCGCCTGGACCCCCATCAATGCCACAGTCAGCTTCCTTTCCGCCCACGGTGCCTCCCACCTTGTCTGTTTGGGTGACAGCCTCGCCAGCCTCTCCCAGAGGGTAAGCCAGAGACGGGCTGGTCGCCCCAGCAGCTGAGTTCTTAGGAAGGAACAGCCCCACATGGACTGGGTCCTCAGGGCCAGGGTGCATTCGGGGGCATCCTAACTCCATTCATTCTCCGTGCTCCAGATCCAGCTCCCTGATGTCCTGAACCAGCTCCTCCATTCTCTGAGGGAGCTGCTCCTGCTGCTGCACCACAGCGTGCTGTTGCCATTGTGGCACCTGCTGCTTGAGGCCCTGGCCCAGGCCCAGCAGCACTGCCACCAGGTGTGCAGGTGAGACCCTCAGTCAGGGCTCCAACAGGAGCCCCAGTGGCCCCCCCGCCCTTTTTCCAGGGACAAGGCTTCTCTGTTCAGTCTCTCTGCCCTGCCCCTTGCTCCTCCCTTGGTCTCTGTGGAAGGTGGTTGTGGGTCTGAGTTGCAGCCTTGTGGCTTGACACAAGTGCGCACCACGACTTCCCAAGTCCCACAGATGTTCTGCTTTCCTCCCAGAGGTCCGGTGACCTGGGACTGCGTGAAGACACAGCTCAGCGAGGCTGCCCACTGGACCTGGCTCTGCCTACAGGACATCACGGTGGCTTTCTTGGACTGGGCACTTGCTATGATATCCCAGCAATAGGCCCTGCCTCCTTGGCCACTAGCCTCTGTCTGAGACGGGCCATCTGAGACTGCGGGAGGCAGTTCTGCATGGATTCTTTTTTTACTTGGTGCCTGAGTTCTTCTTCTAGGCAAGTGGCCAGTTGTCACTTCCCCAATTTTTGGTGATGACTGAGCCCAGGGGTATCGCGGCGTCCTACCCACAATCCCACTGAGCACTTCTCTGTCCCTATTGCACATCGCTCCCAGCATCTGCCCTTGGGCGGTAGCCTCTCCAGCCTCCTCTCCCGTCTCCTGCCTTCATTTCACTCCTGAAGCCCCAACGCCTCATCCCCAAAGGTGGGTCTCCAGCGAGTGGCCTCTGCATTCTTCGATGAATGATTTCGCTCCCATACTTCAGCTGCAGCAGGAAGAGGAGAGAGGCCTCCAGGAGACTGACACCCCAGTGAGGAATTGCAGCTTCGCTTCTGCCCACATCCTGCACACGAGGGCTGGATGGAGAACCTCTGCCCTCAAATGCCCAGTGTAGGTCCTTCCAGGCCCCTCACTTCCCCCGCCATCGCGAACCTTTCTCCTCCCTGTCCCCCTTCAGTGCTGGGGGTGTGGAGGGCCTCTGCCTCCAAGTTCAGCTTCTCACTGTCGCCTACCCCTCCATCTGTCTGGGGAGCAGAGTCCAGTTGTGTGTGCCTTGGGCCCAGGGAACCTTCCAGCAGCCTGTTGGGTCAGGATTCAGTAGATGGCTCCTAGATATGCCTACAGGTGGAATAAAGGTCACAGATTTGATTTCTAGCTTTCCTCTGCCTCCTCATATAGGAATTCCCATAGCTGAGGACAGGATACAATTCAGGCACCTGCATATTCCCCTTGGCCCCTGCCCGCCTAAGGGTTGTAGCTACTGGTGGAAATTGAACTTCTGGTTAAAGAAAGCCCACACCCATCCTAAACTTCGGCCTATTGAGGGTCTGGAAATCTTTTGCTCCCCTAGACTCACTTGTCACTGTGATTCATGTCCCAGTTGTGATTTGCCTTGACAGCTTAAGTGATTTATGCTTGGAAACTCAGGGAAGAGTCTCCTAGGGGAATTCTTGGCCAGCAATCAGGTGTCTTCTTCCTTGCCAGGACCTTAATTTATTAATTGGTTTGTTTTTTAAGGCAGCAAGTGAACGATTTAGAACTCTTATGAGGCAGGATCAAGGGTTTATCACCAAAGTCCCCTTTAATTTTTGACTTGAGACTACCATAACTGCATTAACTCTCACCTCGAGTTTCCTGGAGTTTCCTGGATGTTTCAAAACACGCAGTAGGAGAGGTGCACTGCCCACTCACATTTTTGTTTCCTTGTTAGAATGTTACTTCTTGGGAGTTAGGCAGAACCCAGCTCTCCTAGTGGCAGTTAGCCATGGCCATTTTTTTCACAGAAGTTGGGAGCCCTGCCTGGCAAAGAGCAGTGGCCAAGGACTGCTGGGCTGGATTGCCTACGGGTCCCAAAACGTCCCATTTCCTCAGTTCCTCCTCACCAATCAAACGAATGGGTTCAATGCTTAGGAACAGTGAGGCTTTGGAACTGGCCTGTATTCCTGGCAAGTAGAAGGGGCTGGTCTGATCCTACATTGGCAACAGCAAAGAACAAAGTGGTGACACTGTCCTACAATAACCTCGAGTCCGGCCAAGGCTGCTGCACTGAGTTCTTACAATCCAGCAACTTCAAGAATGCTACTTCCAAGGGCTTCATCACCTTCTAATGTGTGTACTATGCCAGGTTCATTTCATTTCTGACATGATCTTGGGGTGCAACATATCCCTTCAACTTAGGTCAACTGAGGTATCCACAGCCTCTCACAAGGACACTAACACCTGAATTGGCTTTGATAGATGTTGGTTGACCCAATATTGGAATTGCCCAAAATTCTTCCTGTGTCAAGGGAGTAGTCCAGCTGTTTTACCTGCTGTCCATTAGTGCTAAACCAGATAGCCAGATGTTTCATTTTGCAGAACTGTCAACAAATTAATCCAAAATTGTGAGTGGGCAGTGCCCCTCCCCTACAGCTTGTTTTGAAACTGCATTAGGTGAGACTAATGCAGTTACGGTAGTCTGTCAGTGAGTTGAACCAGTGCGGACTAGTGGAGCAAGCACAATGGTGCTGACAGGTGGGCAGGGACTGTTTGTGTTATTAGAACAGAATCTGAAGCCTCAGGGGGCCACATCTAGACATTGTAACTACTTTTCACACACAGTTGGAGTTCTATAGATAATGTGCCATAGAGCTGAAGGGCAGCTTAAATATGGCTCTCTTACTACAGTTATTACAAATTGTGTTGACCTGCAAATTACATCACAAGACTCGCTTGAAACACATCTTTATATGTTTCCACATTCCTCTGGTTATCTGTACCCACTCTACCGCTTTAGAGCAGGCCAACTTGATGGACCTGCCCAATTTACTATGGGTAGATGATCTTGCCAGGCAGATAACACTGGTCTCACGCCTGCTGGCCCATTCTCAGATGCCACCACCTTGAGGTGGAGTCGCCCACAGAGAGGGATGTGCCTTCCCTGACCCAGTTGTCAGTTACACTGAGATTTCAGTGGTTGGATGACCTCAGCATTTTAATGCTGTCTTATCTCGTGAGTTTGAATTTAAGTGAACACTTAAGTGATCTAACTTTTTAAAAATTTTCTTCATGGTTCTGCTCCCAAAAGGACTTGAGGGGGATAAAGGACTTGGCCCTTCCCCATGGTGTTCCATTTTACTGAGTATTTTTCATTGCCCCACACTTGAGGTAGAAGAAGAAATTTGAGGGGACAGGGAAGCTTCCATTGTTCAGGGTATGAGTGAATATTTATTGAATATTGAATATTCTGCCTATGAGTAAAATAATTGAATTCAGACACATTTTTTAATATGCTTTGGTATAATTTTTTTTTACTGTGTTAGCATACCAGTTATTACATTTTTAATTGACATTTTTAGAGCAGTTTTACATTCACATTAAAGTTGAGCAAAAAATACATAGCCCTTGCCTGTACACTTGCACAGCCTCTAACACTGTTAACACCAGTGAACCTACTATGATACATCACTATCATCCAAAGTTTGTAGTTCAGTCGTACTTTGAATTATTTCAATCTTTTTAAAGTTTGTTGAGATTGCCTAATGTGAGCTATCCCGGAGAATGTTCTGTGTGTGCATGAGAAAAATGTGTTCTGATGCTGTTGGGGGTATGTCCTGTGTCTGTGAGGTCCAGTTGCTGTGTTGATCAAGGCCTCTATTTCCTTATTGAGCATATCATAAACACATCCTAATGTTAAAGAACACTTGCAAATCAAGAAAGCACTAAACAATAATAAAAAGATGAACAAAAGACATAATTAATAAAAAATGCAAATGAACCATAGACTTAAAAGAAGTCATTTCATTGGTTAAAAAGTGCAAATTTAAAATGAGATACACTTTTGTATATCACATTGATGAATTATTGTTAATGATAATATATTCAGTAAATGCTGTGGTAGAAAGTGGTATACTGTTTCTGGGAAGTAATTTGGTAATATTTATCAAAAAGTTTAAAACTTTCATACTATTTTACCAAGTAGTTACACTCCTAAAAATATATTCTGGCTTTTTGCATAATTCTGAAAGAGTTATCAAAATCATGTGAGATTCCAAACTATGTAAAAATAATAAAAGATTAACAAGTATACACATTCTGAAGAGTAAAAAAAGTAAGCCGAAGCATGGACAAAGATTTATATTCCAGAACATTTATTGTAGCAGTATTAATAATAAAAATTTGGATATAAACTGTGTCTGACAGTAAGATGAATATTTTTTAAAAATGTGGTAAAACCAAAGGTTGGGAAATGGCTTTTCAAATAATTCCAAAACATCTATAATGATACGAGAAAATGTTTTTAATTAATTGAGCTTAATTTATTGAAATATTGCCTATAATAAAAACGGAAAATAAGTGTTGACAAGGATGAGACCCTCCTACATTGCTGGAGGGGATGTAAAGTGATTGAGACACTATGGGAACAGTTTGACAATTCTTCAAAGAGTTAAACATATAGTTACCATAAAACCCAGAATTCCACTCCTGAGTATATAACCAAGAGAAATGAAAGCATATATTCACACAAATTTCTTCATGAATGTTTATAAAACCATTATTCATAAAAGCCAAAAGGTGGAAATAATCCAAATGTCCATCAAAACAGATGAATGAAAAACAACAACAAAAACACGACAGCTGAATGGATAAAGGGTATATCCATACAAGGGAATGGTATTCACCATAAAAAGCAAGTACTAACACAGGCTACAACTTGGATGAGTCCCAAAAACATTATAAGTGAAAGAAATGAGACACAAAAGGTCACATGTTTTGTGACTTCTTTCCCGTGAAATCTCCAGAATGGGCAAACCCATACAGTCAGAAAGCTGGTGAGTGGTTGCCAGGGGTTGGTGCTTGCTTGGGAGTCATTGCTTAAAAGGGTAGGAGTTGTTCTTCCAAGCCTGGTGATTAAACAAAAAGTTTTGAAACTAGAGAGAGGCGGTACTTTGCACAACAGTGTGAATACATTAAATGCCACTGAGTTGTTCATACTTTAAAATTAATTGTGTTATCTGAGTTTCGGCCCTCTCTCCCCCCGCACACCCCTCCCCCCACACACACACACACAAATAACAAAATAAATGTCTGCTTCCCAGTCTACCCTCTCCCCTCCCCCTTTGGAGGCAGCAACCCCCCAAAGAGAGTGCTAAACACCCCAAGCTAACGCTCGGAAACCAATGGTACCATTCACAGCAACAGAGCAAAGTGAAAATCAAGATGCTAACATCCTGCTTTGTGGGTGGGCGCAAAGCAACGACCTCGGACCTCGGATTTAGAAGCACCGCTCACGAGAACCCACAAAACGTCGGGGCGGTAAGGGGCCTGCGGTCGTCACCAGGTTGCACGGGCAGAGCTGTAAATGGGGGGTCAGGTCTTCCCGCACACCCACCCCATCACACGACGAAGCCAGGATTCGCGGGAGAGCTGGGCTTTAGTCTTGAGGCTTGTTTTTAAACCCCCGAAGCTCCCGGTGGGCACAGGATTGTGGGCTGGCTTTGCCCGCCCCGGAGGGAGGGAAGGTGAGACCGGCAGGGGCGGGGCCGACGGACGTGGCCGAGCCCGGAGCCCCCTCCGCGGCCCCGCCCGCCAGCCCCCCTCGCGGGGTTCGGGGCAGCTGAACCCGCGCCGCCCTGCAAACCTCGAGCCGCTCTGTGGTTTGTATATTACTTGCCCTGGTCGGGATGAATGGCCGACAAAACGTTGGTTCATTGTCGGAATCAATGCACCTCACACCAGGGGAGCAGTAGGATTTTATTGGCGTCCCCCGGATAAATCTAAGGGGAATGGGGAGCAGAAATAGCAAAAAGCAAGCCGTCGGCCGGGCGAACGGGGTGTGCGCGTTGCAATTGTAGAGCGTGCGAGGGTGCTGGCCCCGCGGGGCCATGCTGTCCGGAACACGCTGGCCGGGGTCGCGAGCGGGGTCTCCAAGCGTCTGCAGTCCTATGGGAGCCACCGGGAGGGGCGGCGGGAGGGGGCGCATTGTTTGGTAGAAAGCTGGAAAACGGAAGGGAAGTGCATTGCCCGTGTTTCCTCCATCCGGGGCTGGGAGGTGGGTCCGTTGCTCTCACAGGTCTCTGCCTTTCTCTGTTCTGTGTAGCCTGGAGGGGCTCGGCCCGGGCGAGCTTCTATAGTAAGTGGAGTCCAGGCCTCTAGCAAGCTCTGAGGTCCTGGCGTAGCGAGGCCTCGGTAAGCATTAGAGAGCAATCTGCGGGCGCTGGAAGCAGCGGGGCCTTCGATAGCTCAGTTGGTAGAGCGGAGGACTGTAGTGGATGAGTCTGTGGCAATCCTTAGGTCGCTGGTTCGATTCCGGCTCGAAGGACTTCGTACAACCTTTTTAACCTCCACCAAACTTGGGTGCGTGGGGAGTTTTATTTGAAGGCAGACTGAATTCCTGAGCACTGCGATGTTCTGTAAAACGTGTGCAGTTGGTCAAGGTATGTAGAGTCTAAGTACTCTTTTGTGGGTTAAATGCAGATATATTCGATGCTTTATTTAAGATCTTCTTACTATTGCTTACGTGTAGTTATTTCTACCTTTTAAGAATTTGCCTATGGTTCCATTATACTCGGCTGCAAAAATAAATGTCCTGAATTTTGGTTTTTCATTGGTCGGCAGACATCTTGTAACAACCTGTAAGGTAACTGGAAGAGAGGCAGCCACAGCCGGGGGATTAGCTCAAATGGTAGAGCGCTCGCTTAGCATGCGAGAGGTAGCGGGATCGATGCCCGCATCCTCCACTCTGTTTTTGCCCTTCCCGAGCGGGGAGCGGGAGCCGGCTCAGGGCTGTCTGTAACAGCCAAGAGAAGCGCGGCCGGCGATGATTACTCTCGGACATTGCCCCTTTGTTTTTAACGTAAGTCTTTTCAGTTTACTACTCGGTTACTTCGTCCCCTCCTGCCGGCAGGCAGGCCGTTGGCTAGCTTCCGAGAAAACGCTCGCGGCACCTTCCGCCCGGCGGGGGCTCAGCCCCAAACGGCACCGGCTCCCGGGCCGCGCGCCCGAGGCCCCCCGCGCACCGGCCAATGGCAGCGGGCTTTACTGGGCGGGTCGCCAGCCGTCCCCGCGACCAATAGGCGAGAGACTTCTTGTTTCCTGGCAGAGCGGGGTCCCGGCACCACGGCGCTCGGTTTTGTTTGGGTCCTGGGTGCCGGGGCCCGAGGTGGCGCCTCGCTAGCGGGAAAGGGAGCGCGATCGCCGGCCCAGAGAGAGGTGAAGGGCTGTGCGCGGAGTGCGGGCCCCGCCCGCCCCGGCGCCGCCCCCTCCCGAGCCCCCTCAGCCCCGAGCGCCTCTGGAACCCACCCCGCCCCTCAGCCCGGGCTCCCGGCCCCACCCCCACCCGGCGGCCTCCCCTCCGCCTCCTTTCCCGGCCCCCGCGCTCCCTCCCCTGGAGCCTGCGGTGCCCCCTTCCTGCGACCAGCCTCACCCCGCCCACGGCAGTCCCGGTCCTCCAGGGTCCAGGGTGGTGAAGCCACCCCCCGCCCCCCAATGGCTGTCTACCGGCCACTTTTTTAGGGCTACTAACAACACCCATTATTCACCCTCAGCTACCAGAGGAGCCTGTTGGGGACTCCCGGGCTTGCAGGGCTGAGGGTGGAAACAGATCCGTGCCCTAGTTGGAACTGAGCTGAGCCTCTAGGTGAGCGAGCGGCTTCTGCCCCGTGCCCTTCGGCTTGGCAGAGGCCACACTTTCCCAGTTTTCTTCCAAGGCAGGCAAAGGGTAATGACGAAAAGGAAGAGCCGGCCCTTGCAGGGCTCGGTGGAGCAACAGGAGGGTGCCTGGTCAGTACTTGTGAGGACAGGGGAGTGGAGACAGGAAGCTGCCCACGGAAACTTAGAAACTTTGTGCTTCCCACTCTGCGTGGCTGGCCAGTGGGCGCCGATCTGGGCCCATTTTGCAAGATGGCCAAGTGTTGCCGCAGGTGTATCTCGGCTAGGTTTGGGCAATCCCACCTCTCTGATTATATTCTCTAATCTTCGGGCTGTGAAGAAGCTTAGAGTTTAGTATTTCTTAGTATTTCTCAACCTAGGCAAGCGGTTGAGTGTTTCCTTTTGGAATGGCCAGCCTGCAGTAAGATGGAGTCCCTTTAGGTCAGTTATAATTCTTGGCGTGAGGCCAGAAGGCTGCTTTTTGTTGGCCTTTCATGGAAGGTCACTCCTGTCTTTTCTGAAGGGAGGAAGCCTCTTACTTTGTAATGCTCATTTATCTGTAGATACCTCCCACAAAAAAACAAACAAACAAAAAAACATTTTTCCTCGCTCTCCCTAACCCAATCCCCCTTTTTCTTCAGCTCTCAGGGCCAGAGTGGAGCAGGAGGATGCTTCCCCAGCCCCGCCATGGAGCTGCGCTGTGGGGGACTGCTGTTCAGTTCTCGATTTGATTCCGGGAACCTCGCCCATGTGGAGAAAGTGGAGTCTGTGTCCAGTGACCTGGAGGGAGTGGCAGGGGGCGTCTTACCCCCGACCAGCAGCACTGCCTCTTCCCCTGACTACGAGTTCAACGTGTGGACCCGGCCAGACTGTGCTGAAACAGAATATGAGAATGGGAACAGGTAAGAGGAAACGAATGGAGGGTGGAAGAGAGAAAAGAGAGGGGCGTCCTTGTCCCCAAGCCCATGCTTCGTTAACCCTTTGACTTGCAATTCATACCAGCAGACTACCCTTCCTTCTCTCCCGACCCCTCCTCCCTCTCTCCTCCTTACTACTACCCCTCTCCAGCCCCCTCTATGTAATGACCAGCCTCTCCTACTCTGGCCTTCAGGTCATGGTTTTACTTCAGCGTCCGGGGAGGATCACCAGGGAAACTCATCAAGATCAATATTATGAACATGAACAAGCAAAGCAAGCTGTATTCCCAGGGCATGGCCCCCTTTGTGCGCACACTGCCCAGCCGGCCACGCTGGGAACGCATTCGTGACCGGCCGACCTTTGAGGTAAGTTCATCACAAGGCGGAAAGACAGACCTGGGTGCTGAGAGCAGAGGAGGGGGAGGAGCAGGAGCTACCTTTAGCACAGAGCACTGAGCAGGCAGGACACTGGGTCTTGGTACCTGCTTTCCCTGCAGCACTAGTAGGAGTCTCAGAGAAGCCCCTGCCTCAGGGAGCCCCAACGAAGCTGCCTGCCATGTGGACAGTCTCAGAGGGACTTTCTGAGTGTGTATGTGGGTGTGTGTGTGGGTGTGTGTGTGTGTGTGTGTAAATGTGAAGAGAGGGAAGTTGGTAAATGTGTTAAGGGGGTGAGGTCAGCGCCCGGTGACTCCACGAGGGTCTTCGTTCAGACAGCCATGGCATGTTGCCCCTCCTCTTCCTCTGCTCCTCAGATGACAGAAACACAGTTTGTGTTATCCTTTGTTCACCGTTTCCTGGAGGGCCGTGGGGCCACCACCTTCTTCGCCTTCTGCTACCCCTTCTCCTACAGTGACTGCCAGGATTTGTTAACCCAGCTAGACCAGCGCTTTCTGGAGAACCACCCTACCAAAAACAGGTGCCAACCCCATTCCTACTCCTGCCACACAGTCCTGGGCCACACAGCAACTCTGCTCCCTCTGGGACTTGCCCTAAGACCCTGAACCAAAACTTCATCAGTTCTTTTCTCAGTACAGAATGTGGGATTTGGGGTACCTTTGACAAATATATTACTGTGTAACCTTGATTTCAGCATACCTCCACCTACACTCACTCACCCCCCTGTGCAGTTCAAGCCCTTAATACCCCAGCTCCCATCAGTTATCCAGGATTTAGTCAGCACACTTTTTTTTTTTTTTTTTTCTTTCTGTCCCAACTGAGGGCAGCTCTTTGTCAATGCTAACTAATCTATCCTAGGGAGCCATAAACAGGGGAAAACAAGTTCATCCTATCCCGTACTCTGCTTTCTGGCAGACCCGCCCAAATCCTCAGCCCCCTGAAACACTAGGAGGGACTGTAAGGTCCCCAAGGCAGGGTGAAGTACCAGATCCTGCAGATCCTGGGCTCCTGACAAGGCCCACCTCTTGCTAGGACTTTAGGGACTTCTAATGGCTTGATGGTGTGTATACCTACAGCTCTCTGGATACCATCTATTACCACCGGGAGATCCTTTGCTATTCTCTGGATGGACTTCGTGTAGATCTGCTAACGATCAGTTCCTGCCATGGGCTTGAAGAAGAACGAGAGCCCCGTCTAGAGCAGCTATTTCCTGATATCAGCACCCCCCGACCATTCCGTTTCACAGGCAAGAGGGTGAGTGGGAATAGTATAAAGGCAAGACCCTGACCATGCCTAGTGCAGGCACTGTTGAGAGCCCCAGCCACGTTATCACTGGGCATCTTCACCACAGGCTCAGCCTGCATTCGGAGGCAAGGGCGACAGCTCCCACTCCACTGCAGCAGCTGGAAATCCAGTGGCTCTCCTTTCCTGCCTCATCCCCTTCCCCACAGCCCTCCCCCCCCCTCCCCCCAAGTACTGCTCCAATTGAACTATAGGGTAACTGACCTAACGGCTGCTCTCTCTGTATCAGATATTCTTCTTGAGCAGTAGGGTACACCCTGGAGAGACGCCATCTAGCTTTGTCTTCAATGGCTTTTTGGACTTCATCCTTCGACCTGATGATCCCCGGGCCCAAGCCCTACGTCGCCTCTTTGTCTTTAAGCTGATTCCCATGTTGAACCCCGATGGTGTGGTCCGGGGCCATTACCGGTAAGCCTCCCTGACTTCTCTGGGTTGTTTCGCCCCCTCACGCCCTGCAGCTCAGTGAGACACTGTCAGCCTCTCTCTGCCTCTTCCTGTACTCCCCACCCTCTCGCACCCGAGTACGGGCAAGCCCGTCTAATCATCCAGGGGCCTGAGAAGGAATGGGATCTTATCTCCTAGCACTCTGGAAGGAGCAGAGCTAGAATAACTGCAAGTTCACCTGAGAGCTATCCTAGGTGTCTGCAGGAGTGACAGCAGATTAAGGAGAGCCCCTATCCTCAGTTCTTCCTTTCCTGATGCAACTTCAGCCTCTCCTTGTACAAGTCATTCTCCCATAGTCTTTTTTTCATCTACTCTAGTGTCTGCCTTGCTGGTCCACTCTCTGGACTCTGCCTCAGCCCTTGTTTTCCTACAGCACAGACTCGCGTGGAGTGAACCTGAACCGTCAGTACCTGAAGCCTGATGCAGTCCTGCACCCGGCCATCTACGGGGCTAAAGCTGTGCTTCTCTACCACCATGTGCACTCCCGTCTGAACTCTCAGAATCCCTCTGCACAACAGCACAATCCTTGTCTCCATCCTGATGCCCCGCTTTCTGACTTTGAGAAAGCCACCAATCTCCAAATGGAACCTCACCTTGGGCACTCGTGTGCTGGGGATAACCCTGAGCCCTGGATACAGACTGAGCTTGCAGAACAGAAGGCCAGCAGTGTGTGGATTATGCCCCCACCGTCCACGGAGGCTGAGGAGCCAGCCCCCGACACCATCCCCCCCAAAGAGAGTGGTGTGGCTTACTATGTGGACCTACACGGACATGCTTCCAAAAGGGGCTGCTTCATGTATGGAAACAGCTTTAGTGACGAGACCACCCAGGTAGGAGTCCACCGAATGTCATGTGAGTGTGGGAGGTGTTGCAGGTTAGGGAAGATGACCTTCTGTCAGGTCAGGAAAGCCTGTGGCTACAAAAGGTGGACTACCACCCTAGCCAGTTTGGCTCAGTGGATAGAACTTCTGCCTTCAGACTGAAGGGTCCTGGGTTGGATTCCAGTCAGGGCACATGTCCAGGTTGCCCGCTCGATCCCCATTAGGGGATGTGCAGGTGGCAGCCGATCAGTGATTCTCATTGATGTTTTTATCTCTCTCCCTCTCCCTCTCTGAAATCAATAAAAATATATTAAACACACACACACACACAAAGTGGACTACTTCTGAGGGTGGACTACAGCTTCAAAAGGCCAAGAA